AAAACACAGAACCGCGCACGGCGCATGCCCCCCCACCCCCACCCTATTCAACATTACCATCAGGGTTTCCGAGAAATATATCAGGAGTTTCCCATTACAAGGTAATATTCTGAGACATCAGGAATAAAACAACACTGATCCATGCTGGCTTGTAGAAAAAAAAAATTTATATACAAATAAACTAAAGAAATGACCAATCTATCAGGGAAAGAGTCCCATAACAGTCCAGGGATAAAGAGAAACCAAATAAATCTCCTTTTTCCCCTCCAACATTAAAATGGAACATGTCTATGCTTCAGCGCCAGACTTACATTATTTACAAAGTCTTTCCTGTAGATCACTATTGCTGTCTGCACAGGTCAACATTAAGTGGGATTACAGAAAGACAATGGCGGTTTTTGCTGCACACCCCCTGTTCCTCCATCAAGAGCCTCCCCACCGTGGGTCTCCTGGTGCAGCCCCACCAAGCTAAGGAGCCCCCTCCTCCTTCTTATACAGTAGATGTTGGAGAGCAAGACCTGCGATGCAAGCAGGAGCAGGAGAGCAGTCCATGGTGAAGGGAAACGCCGGAATGGACCAGAAACGGCTGTCTTTCACACATGTGCTCACAGCACTGGTGATGACGAAGATCTCCGTGAAGTTTAAACAATATTAGCAGCATATCCACAAACGGGGGAGCAGAGTAACCCAGCGATGCATGAAAATGGCTGCATGCTGCCCTCAGCCTCAGGGACAGGGGACCCTTTAAGGAGCTTGTTACCCCATCAAGCCTCATGGACATCTGGGCTAAAGTGGCCTGTGACTCAAACTGCAGCTGGAAGTGTTGAAGTGTTTGGTTCTGATGGGTTTACACTGTCCCCGGGTTTGCTAAGTGGCACGCAGGCAGGTGCTGGTCCGGCCGACCCGGAGCCCAAGCTAGTTAGCGGGGGCCAGAGGGGTGAGAATGAACCCCCCCCCGCCCGTCTCCATCCACAGCTTCCTCAGCTTAAACACAGCCTCATTCGGAATTTCCACACTGCGCCGGATACGGTACGGAATCGGTACGCAAAAACGCTGACGCTGAATGCGCTCTGATGGCTATTTAAGGTGGCTCTGATGGCTATTTAAGGCGGCTCTGAGTCGGAACGGCCCACACCCATTCCCAGCGTATGGAAATGCACCCGGCCGGCAGCCTCCCGCATCCCGGAACGAGACGGCACACAATCTGCCAGCGATGCCCATTCCCATGCGCGGAATTGGCTGCCTAATACAGTCGCATGTGGACTTTCAGATATTCTAGCCTCATGCAGACACATTTATATTTCAGCAGCGTTCCACCAAAGCAGGGAAATTCCTGTTTTCCACGGTCTATATGCACTGAAAGCTGTCAGATGAATGAGTGATTATACAATAAAAAGAGCAGATTAAAAGGTCAGGAATTCTAATAACACATTTTATTTGACCTATCCCATCTCCCTTCTGCACAATAAAATGACACTGCTTTCAGGCAGTAGGAATTGAAATGTAATAAACATACAAGGAATAAAAATATACCAACACTACAGACGCTTCACCCTAAAGGTAAAATCATATTCGGATATCGGACGTTACAGGATGCTTTACGCTGGTATAAAAGCAGCAGCAGGAATATACAGAAAAGGAGAAAAAGAATTAACACATTGATTAGACAAATGAATCCAATGGCATTAAGATACAGAGGACAGTGTCTCCCGGTAAGTGCTACATATTAACAGATATTTAATTTGATTAAACAATTAGAGCGAGTGACATTTCTCTTTCTTATGCTTTACGCAAACAGGCAGCTGCGTTGAGGTTCAGCCCCTTATCAGGGTGATTTGGGGAAACGCTGGGAGACAGAGCTACAGATAAAACAGCTCCTTCCTCCAGCAGACCATCTCCTGCTCCTCCCCATCATGCACTCGCACGTTCAGTCCTACTGGACGTCAAGACTAATCGTAACCAAGGTTACCATAAAAAATATGGTCGTCCCCATGTAACACCGTGAGTGTGCTACAAATGCAACAAATGTGTTCATCACATGAAGGCAGATTTTAAAAATCATTTGTTTAAAATTTTTATCATTTGTGCTTTTTAAAAAAAATTAAATAAAATTAGGATTTTCAGGTGACTGGACTGCGGTTGTTTCCTACAATTCCCAGGGAGCCCGTCAGCATCACCTACATTACTCTTCATCTTTCTGTAGCATGGAGGCCTCATGGGAAATGGAGGTGTGGAAAGTGATGCGCAGAAAGAGGCCTAACGTTTGATATAAATAGGTACATTGGTTTAAAAAAGTGGAACGCAGAAAAATAAGGCAGAAGTGGGCGTGATGTGTGCTGACAGAGATAAATACGCTGAAAAAAGTCGTTATGCTCTGTAGGGGGTGTTTCCCAGTGATGTCAGCAAGTGACACCCTTCAGAGTCCCCGCCACCAGGACAGCTAACGAGTCCCCTGAATGCCACCACTCAGCCTGGGCCACAGTAATAATGAAGAAAGCAGCTTGTCAGAAATAGGTTTTTACGTAAATGTTTATTAAAGCCTCGTGCAGAAACAGCACAATTAAACACATCAGTCAACCCCCACCAGCCCACAGCACTCACACTCAGCTCTCCGTAAATCCCTCTTTCACAGTTTACAGGGTCGAAGGGCCTCACACATCACTGGACGTGCTGAACCGAGATCACAGCCGAGACTGCCCTGGTACTTCAGCCGGGGACCCTCGAGAGGACAAACGGCACCGCAAACCAGCAGAGCGGCCGCCAATGGACCCAGGTGCGACGCGGCTTGTCGTTCACTTAAATGCTGAATGCAAATCTAAAACACGGGGGGGGGGGGGAAACAGGCTGGGAGAGTCCTTCATCTGAAAATGGTTAGGGGTCATGTTGGCACACCTGGCGACCTGCTCGAGGGTCTGTGCAACTTAAATCCCAAAGTTCCTGCAAGACCCACAACCAAGACAAGCATTTGGTAAGTGGGTAGATTGATGGAGGGTTCCTGGATAAATTCATAGGATGGCTCACTAATGAGCAAGAGAGCAAAACCCAGGTGGGCAAACAACAACAAAAGAAGGGCAGCTTCATATGTGTTGACATAATCCAACGGCCAGCCTGTTTCAAAGCGGCCAATCAGGAAGCAAACAGCTCCAGCGCTCACAGCAACATCGCACAAAAGTGCCTGTAATTGGGTTCCGCAGCAGAAAGCCTGCTTCTGTTCTGCCCCGAGCCACATTATGTGTGCGCCTTGGCAGGATTAAAAGCTTAAAAGCTGGATTTCATTCATGTGCTTTTATACAACAGTCAGAAAAGGGCCTCTTCACGTGACAACTGCAAATAGGAAGAAAAACAATGTTAAAGAACGACTGAATTACTAAATACCCCAGATGTAGCATGGAAAGGCAAAAAAACAAAAAAAACAGCATTATTTAAAGTGAGGAGGCTATAATGAAAACGATAAAAAAACAGGTTTAAAGCCATTATGAATGCAAAGCAATGCTACAAATTATTTGGGCTGCACATTCATATGCATGGGTCCTATGGCTACAGTATCTGCCTTTCCCTGTCAGTTGAGCTTAGGTTGGCCAGATAATCCATGTCAGGGAGACACTTTGAGCTACTTCAGGTTTTAAAAAATGCTTTAAAACTGAAAGGCTCCTGCACTTGGCTAAATTGTTCAATTCTTCTTGTGCTTTGACTGGTTTGTTTCTTTGACTGAAAGACTCATCCAGCTGTTTCACATTAACATTACTGACACATGCATGGTTATAGCAGACTGACCAATCAGCAGTGAGAACTTAGTGATTAAGAGAAATCCAGGTTCTTTTCATTGAAAAGTTAGTTTACAAATCCTTTCCTAGCTCAGTGGATTACCTGGTCACCCTAGTTGAGCTTCCAAATCAAAGGTTCCTTCCCAAACTTGGCTGAAGGGGGATCTAGAAATGTTCTGTTACCAAAACTTGGTTTGGATGTCAACCCTCAAGAAAGGCAACAAAACCATCAAACTGCACTAAAGCATCTGGGGATATTCCAACCAAGTTGGAAGCTGACCCCACTACCTTCCCGTTTCATAGATAGGTCACAGGACAAGGACATTACATACTTTGTGTATTGCAAACACCAGCACTCCCTGCTGGCTGGCAGAGCACATGACATGCGCCACGTATTCTAAACTCGGCCCCCTGCTGGCTGGAAGGGCACATGACATGCTCTACGTAGTGTAAACTCCACCCCCTGCTGGCTGGTAGGGCACATGACCTTCAATGGCCCCTCAAATAGCCCTTAAAAAAGGCCCTGTTCGAAAACAGAGGGCAAACAGACCTTGAAGCAGCATGATCTTCATAGTGACCACGCCGTGGTCTTTCCAGGGACCATGAGGACAGGTGTGAAACGACAAAGAGAGTCAGTCTCTGAGATGTGCCATTTACCCAGCGTTGTGTCACCGTCTGTGGAAGCCGGGAGGCAGTCAGGTCATTTGCTCATTTAGCGAATGCTGGATTATAACCAGGAAGAAAAAGGTTGATATAGAAAGGAATAAAAGTCTGCTGATTAATTAATAACGATCCTTATGAGTGAGGAGCTGAAGATGAGAAAGTGGTGCCGTTTAAACACAGAATTTGAAATTAAAGCTTCGCGAGAAACTTACTGTTTTGATCAGCTGCAGCAGTTTCATGATCAGCAGTGTTTACCACCACTCAAACCAGGCACTGGTGTGCCCCCCCCAAGGCTATAAGGCCCCCTGTTGGCTGCAAACTTTAATGTTACTACATTAAATATTAAAGGGGTTCCTCTTTTAGGAGATGCGAGAACAGCATGTTCTGATATCCAGCTAGCTGGTTGCACTCTTCTGACGCTACTCGCTAGTTAACGTTAACATTACACGCAGCAAAGAAGCGATGAAATCCCCAAAGTCTTTTCCGTGTAAACTGCTTGGACACACTCACACTCACACTCACACTCACAGACTCGTGGGCGGGGCCGGCAGACAGCCCCGCCCCCTACCTCACCTCTCTTCCTGGATTCCTTCCTCACGCTGGGTCTGGCAGCCGGCTGAAGCTCCGCCTCAGTTGACATCCTACTGAGTCCTTATTCCTCTTCAAAGCTAGTCCGGTCCGGTCCGGTGGCGTACGCAGGCTCATTCAGGGGGGTCCCGCGCACTGCCGGTCAGTCGCTGCTTGCACTCAACCCTGACACGGCATCTCAGTCACTCTCGTCGAGGGCTGCGGGACAGGAACGGGGGCGTGATTTAGTAAGTGAGAGTAGCCGGTGACATTTTAAGGCTGCAGACATATGGATTTCACAAAAGTCCCTAAAAAGGATTTCAGATTGGTTATCTGCACGAGCACAGCAAGCACTACAGTGCAGATGCTCTTTTAAGGACTGCAGGGTAACCTGAGGACCAGGCAAGCGTCCACCTGAGAGGGCGGACTGCGTCTTTAGGCAGAAGACAGACTGCATGTGGCCATCAGCGACTGGCAATAAGCCTCATTCAGGGAGGACAGAGGCGGCTGTGGCGGCGGTCGCTCAGAAAGGCAGCGCGGTCGATGCGTTTTTAATTAGATTAAAAGCACGGAGGGCCGAGGGCTTCACCATCAGCGACGGGGAGCCGAGTGGGAATCCCTCGCTGCTACCAGGACGCAGAAAGACAAGAAGCCGCTGCTAAGAAAGTACACAGTGTCTGTGCTCATGACGGGCAGCTCAGCTTCAAAGCGATAACTGGATAATATTAAACACTCATGAACTATATATTATATATTATTTATATTATATTACATTTTGTCCCCATATGTGTTTTCATCTAGACTGCAAATGCTGAGTAAACCTGAAAGATCCTATTTTATTATTTTGGATGGGAATTCCAGAGGGATGGGAATTCCAGAGTTCGGGTGCAGTGTGGGAGAAGGCTCTTGCACTGATGATGGAGAGGTTAATTTCCAGGACAGAAAGCAGGCAAAGTCTTTGTGGGAACAAATGTCCCCACAATGTGATAAAAACCTGATATTTTGACATTTTTCTGGTCTCCACAAAGAGAAACTCAATTTTACATAAATCTGTGAATGCAATTAAAACACTAAAAAAGGAAAAAGTATTTTATTCCATTACTTATGTTTAGGGTTAGGGCTGGGTAGGGGTTAAATTTGTCATGGCTGGGATTAAGGTTATGCCCATAGAAATAAATGGACGGTCCCCACAAAGATAGGAATACAAACCTGTGTGTGTATGTGGGTATGAATGTTTTACCTCACAGAATATTACACTGTATTTTAGGGTGCCACCCTTCTGGAGGCTTTTAAACATACAGTGCAGCAGCACTGACACTGCCCAGCTGAGCACAGCAGCATATCAATAAAATATATATATTTTTAAATCGTACTTCAGAATTGATGTTCTTGGCATTTATAAAAATGACCCGGACCAGAGAGGCAACACTTTACACAAATTGGTAAAGGCATCCACGCTTATGCTGCTGAATAGTTAACGAGTTCCATCTCGACTCATTCCTTTTCTTAATTACAGTGTCCTGTTGTAATAATGTTCTGCAGTATTTCATATTTAATGAAGCTCCATTTTTCAGAATTTTAATGGTTCGGCAAGGACTAGTCAGCAGAAGTTCATGACAGGTCATTCGAGTAACGCGAGATGATGTCAGGTGAGATTCTGCAGCTCTGTGGAGTAAAATGCAAAACAGTGGCAGCTTTCTGTGTTTTGGTATGATAAGGCAAAATAAAATGTATGGCCAAATGCTGCAATAATTACCACAGCACATCTACAAGGCAAACCACAACCCTAGCAAGTAGCAGGGATTATTTCCCAGAATTCCTAGTAACTGGGCTCATCAGCAGTCAGCTTTTCCCTGAGAAAACCCAAAGGATCTGCAAATGTTCATCTGTATCCAGCTCTGCTCAGATCCACAGCTACTTTCACGTCACACATCTAAGAAAGGGTCTGATCAGCCAGCCTCACCAGCAACGTAACCAGCACTCCCAACCACAAAGCACTCCCCTATCCTTACACCACCGGAATGCCGCCCAAAACCCCATCACTTATCACTTTAATGTCTTAGAACACCAAATACATAAGATACAAAACTTATTAGCTCAAGAAAACTGGAGAGAAACAAGAGGAAACAGCAAAAGACGTGATTCCTCAAAACAGAAAGGAAGGTGAAGATGTCGGATTTCTGGACCAGTCACAAGAATAACATGTTTCTCTGTTCGCTGAATAGCATCCAAGAGCGTAATTACTTCCTCCGGCCATCGGGGGAGGTATAACAGCAAAGGGAAAGACATTTTCAGCATCTTGGTTGAGAAGCTTCATCCCACAAAGACATTGCCTACAAGCTATCTTAGATAGTTCAGAACAGTTAATTGGCAGCCCTGTCTGTGAGAAATCTGCCAAACTTGCCACACAATACACTAAGGGTCACCCTCTGGATAACACCGTTTCTTTTGACAGGTCAGGGGTTCAAATGAGTGCAGTTTGAATGTTCTCCCCACATCCACGGATGTGCAGCTAAGCTAAATGACATCTCTATTGTACAGTATGTGCCCTGTGCTGCACTGGCATCCTATCAAGTCCTATTATTTAGCATTTTTATTTATCAGCCAAGGTGACATGCGAGGGAGGAAAGGTTGTGGTCAGATAGTAGAAGCAACCAGACAGCAGATGGGATTCAAACCCATGAGTTTCTATACACAAGCACAGATCGCTGGCCCTACTTAGTCACACAGCAGCCTCCACACCAGGGGTGGGCAAGCTTACCCAGAAAGGGCCGCTGTGTTGCGGGTTTTCCATACAACTCCCTAATTAGATTACTAATTAGAGGACTGACTGGCTGAAGAATCCTCACACCTGGGTTTGAAAAGCTGACCTAAAGGTTATCCCCATACACACTGGTCCTTTGCAGATAAGACTGGCCACCCCTGCTCCACACGCTGCTGCACGTACCCCGGCCTTGTGCTCTGTGCTGTCTGTTATAGGCTCCAGGCCCTCCAGTCACCCCGGCCTTGTGCTCTGTGCTGCCTGTTATAGGCTCCAGGCCCTCCAGTCACCCCGACCTTGTGCTCTGTGCTGCCTGTTATAGGCTCCAGGCCCTCCAGTGATCCCGGCCTTGTGTTCTGTGCTGCCTGGGATAGGCTCCAGACCCTCCAGTGATCCCGGCCTTGTGTTCTGTGCTGCCTGGGATAGGCTCCAGATCCTCCAGTGATCCCAGCCTTGTGCTCTGTGCTGCCTGTTATAGGCTCCAGACCCTCCAGTCACCCCGGCCTTGTGCTCTGTGCTGCCTGTTATAGGCTCCAGGCCCTCCAGTGATCCCGGCCTTGTGCTCTGTGCTGCCTGTTATAGGCTCCAGNCCCTCCAGTGATCCCGGCCTTGTGCTCTGTGCTGCCTGTTATAGGCTCCAGACTCTCCAGTGATCCCAGCCTTGTGCTCTGTGCTGCCTGGGATAGGTTCCAGGCCCTTCAGTGATCCCGGCCAGGATAAACGGGGAGATGGATGGATAATATGCCTGGATTGTGTCCATTCAAACACAGATCCAGGACCAACCAAGGAACGAAGGTATTCATTTTGTCTCCACCCTGTTAGCTAGACAAAACAGAGAAACCCCACTCTATAGACGCTAAAGCCGATTCCCTAAATCTGGGTTAAGTTCTCCTCCGGGAGAAGCAGTCACATTTACTGAGCACAAATATGGCACAATGTTCCAAAAATTGCCGTCTAAGTTTAGACCCAATTTCCTCAGTCCTAGATTTCAGAAAAAAAAATTACCAAGAGCTGACTCTGAGCAAAAGCTCCATCGAAGCCCCCCCCACCCCCCCACCCAGGAGGCAATGCCGAGTGACAAAGCTTTGGGTGAAGACCCGCGATTTACTAAATCTGTACGTTATGTGAACCAAGCCACTGTCCCCAGGAGCTCAGTGAAAGTGCATTTATATTTAGGCTTATAGTGGATTTCACCCATCACTGATATTAAGATGCTTTTACTTCATTAGTAATATTGAGTTACATGATCTGAATATTTATTTGTGTTATGTCAAGTGAATCTCCCAGTCAGATCACCATGCAGGTAAAAGTAGAAATTATACATTAATAAATGCTCACTTTATGACCTAAAAAATGTAAACATGATCCTGTGGGAATTTAAACAACAATAAACGTACAGATTTAGACATCAGCTGATTCCACTAGAATGTGCCTTAAAGCAACAGAAACAATGTTTGATTTGGTTAATGTGTCTCACCGAGACACAGAATTAGATTAAAAAACAAACTCATCATTTATCCATCAGAATTATGAAATGCATATTTATCGCAGTCGGAAAGACTAACTTCACTTGTTCTGGATTGCCGTGTTGCCTTCCTTAACAGCAAACTGTGGTGGGGCCCAGCAGTCTTTGGGTTAAAATGATTTCTCTGCATTGATCAGACAGCAATCACACAAGTAAGTACATCGGTACCAGCTCACTTTTGCTCTGTGACAGTCACAGTTTGTCATTGCAAATCTGATTCTTCCTATGAGCATTTCAGATGTGTCTGAATGGTGAACATTTATTTTTACAAATAAATGTTCAAGAAAGGCTGAGCCAAAAGCAGGCATCTTACACAAAAGCCAGCTCCACCGTTACACCATCAGCGTGAACAGATGTGCCCGTTTGGGGATGATCCACCATGTTAGCAAACACTATATTCAGAAACAGGCGGGAAATTGGACGCCCGTAAGTCAGGCTGCAAACGTAATCCCCGTACATCACCCACAGCCAACAGAAAGACAGCGCCAAGGAGACCCCATGTGCTACGGCTAACAGTGCGGCACCCTCTACAGGTCGAACCCGGCAGTGCGGGCTGGGCAGCTGGAAAAGCCTACTTGGCCAGCTCGCGAAATGAGAGAAAAATGATAGACACACAGGGATTCCCCATCAACCACAGGTAACCAAAAAACCTAACTAAACAAATATTTAGTTTGCTGATTGCATTCACAGATTTTTATGAAACCAAGGCACATATTGTGGGGACCTGAAAAATGTACCCACAAGCTAAAAATAACAGGTTTTACCACACTGTGTTACACTGAGAGTAACAGACACACAGTCACAGACAAACACGGAGTAGCAGACACAGTCACAAGCACACCGAGAGTCACCAATGCACACTGAGTCACAGACGCACAGTCACCGACACACCCTGAATAAAAGACCCACAGTCAGACGCACCCTGAGAGTCAC